AGTGTATGAAAAATTCTTTTGTGTAAATTAAAATTCACAATTTTCATGAGCTATAACCCATGGTTTTTGATAATTTTTATTCATTTTGAATGAATGTAAACTTATTATGTGCACATTAAAATATAATATTTTCATGAGCTAAAAACTTATGGTTTTTATCAACTCTTATACATTTTGAAGAAATGCAAATTTATAGTGTATATATCACATGTCATGATTTTTATAACTTGTAACCCATAATTTTTATCAATGTTGGTTTATTTTAAAACAAATGTAAATCAATTGTCTTTTTATCAATATTTGTGATTTTTATGAGCTATAACTAATAATTTTTTATTAATTTTGGTTCATTTCAAATGATTGCAAATTTATCATATGTACATCAAAATTCACAGTTCTCATGAGTTATATAATCCACGCCTTTTGTTATTTTTTATTGTTCTGATTGGACGTAAATTTATTATGTCTACCTCAATTTTTTATATTTTTTATTTGCTTCTAGCAAATGTAATTTATTATGTGTACATTAAAAGTTATGATTTTCATGAGCTAAGACTCAAGATTTTTGATATTTTTCATTTCCAACAAATATATTATGTGTACATCAAATTTACAATTTTCATATAATAATTCATAGTTTTTAACAATTTTTGTTCGTTTTGAACCAACCACAAATTTCATATTTTTACATCAAAATTCATGACTTTCATGACTTATAACCTATAATTTTTGTCAAATTTGGTTTGATTTGAGGGAATGTAAATTAATTGTCTTTATATTAATATTTTGTGATTTTGACAAGCTATAACTAATGATTTTTATCAATTTTGGTTTGATTTGAACGGTTTTAAAATTATTATATGTGCATAAAATTTTAGATTTTTATGAGCTTTATAACCCACAACATTTGTTAAATTTTTCCTATTTTCAACAAATACAAATTTATCATGTGCATATCAAAATTGACAGTTTTCATGAGAAATAATCCGGAATTTTTTTACAATTTTTGCCCATTTTAAATAAATGCTAATTTATTATGTGGACATCAAAATTCATGATTTTTATGAGCTATAACTATTGTTTTTAAAAAAAAATATTTGTTTTGAATGAATACAAATTTTATTTGCCTACACCAATTTTTTGCGATTTTCATGAGCTAACCCATAATTTTTTTTAATTTTTATTCATTTCAACCGAATGCAACTTTATTATGCGTCTACAAAACTTTAGGGTTTTCATGAAATTTATATCCGCATTTCCTACCAAGTTTTTTCCATTTTGAACAAATGCAATTTTATTATATTTACATCAAAATTAATAATTTTCATGAGCTATAACCAATAATTAATTTTCATTCATTTCAAATAGATACAAATTTATTATAAGTAATGAAAAATTCATGATTTTTATGTCCTATAACCCATGATTATTGACAAATTTTATTTATTTCGATCGAATAAAAATTCCATGTGTACATCAAAATTCATGATTTTTATGAGTTATAACCCTTGCTTCTAAACAATTTTTTGCTAGTTTTAAACAAATACAAATTTCATATGTGAATATCAAAAAAATTTATTTTTGTGAGATATAACTCATGTTTTTTTAATTTTTATTAGTTTTAAGTGAATGCAAACTTATTATGTGTAAATCAAGATTTTCATGAGCTATAATCCATAGTTTTTGATAATTTTTATTAGTTTCAAGCAAATGCAAACTTATATGTGTATATCAAAATTTATTACTTGAGGGCAATGGGTATAACTTGGCAACTCATTTTATAAAATGACCACGTACTCACAAGCACAAGACCCCACCACCACCCTGTGATGACTAGGTGACCTAAACATTATTGACCTAAACATTATTGACATTAGTGGACATCAAATTTATCATGTGGACATCAAATTTACGGTTTTCAAGAGCTATATAACCCAAGATTTTTGCTAATTTTTGTTTGTCTTGAATGGATGCAAATTTATTAAGTGCATATCAAAATTGATGATTCTAATGAGATGTAACCCACGGTTTTTGATAAAAAAAATTTCCTTTTGAACAAATATAAATTTCATATGTGCACATTCAAAATTTACAATTTTCATGCACTATATTTTATGATTTTTTAAATTATTATTTGTATCTAATGAATGCAAATTTATTAGATGTACATCGAAATTCATACTTATCATAAGCTATGACCCACGATTTTTAAATTATTTTTCGTTTCCAGCAAATATCAATTTATTATGCGTACATCATAATTTTTGATTTTTCATGAGCCATATACATATGATTTTTATCAATCTTTATTTGTTTCGAGTGAACATAAATTTATTATGTGTACATCAAAGTTTATGGTTTTCATGAGCTATAACCAACTATTTTTGTCAAAATTATTCGTTTCAAACAATTACAAATTTATTATATGCACATCAAAATTCACGGTTCTCATGAGCTATATAATTCATGAATTTTGTCCCCTTTTTTTTGAATGAATGCAACTTTATTATATGTTCATCAAAATTTCATGTGTACATCAAAATTTGTGACAGTTTTTTTTTTCAATTTTAAAATATACAAATTCTAGGTATACATCAAAATTGTAGTTTTCTTAAGCTATATTCCAAGATTTTTTGTGTACATCTAAACTCACGATTTTCTTGAGCAATATAACTCACGATTTTCGATTATTTTTGTTCGTTTCTAACGAATACAAATCTATAATGTCTACATCAAAACTTATGATTTTGATAAGCTATAACACATGGTTTTTGACTAGATGGTTGTGACGTCACTCACTTCCCTGGTGGAAGAATTAAATTAGGGAAATGAAAATTTCTGTATCTCATGTAATACTATTTAGATAAGTAATCAAAATCTATACACCGATTTATTAGGTGACCATTAATTTAATTAATATAGCCATGTCACTTGTTGGGCTTTCTAGCTCACCACCAACACCTGTGGCTGCAACTAATTGCAGGACCGGTTCGAGATCAAAACGAACACATTCCAAAAGATGGACGCTTGATAAAGAGATCACTACTTTGGATTATTTTTGAACCGTAAATGTTACGTAAGCCCTTGTAATTAAAAGGCAAACTTTAATTTGACATGTACAAATACAAATCTATCTGTGCAAGCCAACGAGCTTGGGTTGTGACAATTACCCTATTTTTCAGACCTTTTTATCCATTTTCATATGTATTGAACCAACGGTAAATTATTGGCATCATTTTAAATTCTCAACTTTCGTAAGCTATATAACACATGATTTTTATACATTTTCAATCATTTGGCAATTACGTTTTCTTTCCTCAAAATTCTCTAATTTCTTTGTGTTACAGCCTATAATTTTGCCCAATTTCATCTGTTTCGACCATATGACAATTAATCGGTAAACTTCAAACTTTGCAGTTTTCATGGGTTATAACTCACAACTTTTTTTTTATTTTCGCTCATACCAAAGGTTGTTAGGTTTTTTTTCTTCAAAATTCACAATGTTCATAGGCTATAACCCCACTATTTTTATCTATTTTTATTTGTTTTGATCCAATGGAAATTAATTTATGGACTTCAAAATTCAAAACTTCTATGGGTTATAACTGATTATTTTTATTCATTTTCATTGGTTTTAACCAAATGAGAATAAATTTTTCTTTTCTTAAAATTCACGATTTTATGGGCAATATAACCAATTATTTTGTTGATTTTTATTTGTTTCCACCCAATAGCCAATAATAAGTGTACTTTAAATTCTCAATTTTCATCAGCTATAAACCACAAATTTTATCGCTTTTTGTTTGTTTCAAGACAACAACAATTATTATTTTTATTTTTAAAATTTACGATTTTCATGGGCTATAACTCGCAACTTTTGTCCATTTTCATATGTTTCAAACTTATGATAATTAATTGATGTGCTTAAAAATTCGCAATTTCCATAAGCTATATAGTCCACGATATTTTTTAATTTTCAGTCATTTTGTATGGCTATAACTCACTTTCTTTCATTCATTTTTATTGACTTCCACTCAGTGGGAAATAATTTCTGTACTTCAAAATTCTCAATTTTTATATGCGATAACCTATGATTTTCAACTGTTTGTGCCCAATGGCAATAAATTTGTGTACTTCAAAACTCTTCATGAGCTATATAACACACCATTTTGTCCATTTCCAATCAGTTTCTCACCTCAAATTCATGGTTTCTATGAGTTATTACTCACAATTTTTTTCTTTTTTATCTGTTTCAACCTAATTATCAATTATTGATGATGCTTCAAATTTATTCATTTTTATCTGCTTCAATGTAAAGTCAAATTATCAATTATTGATGATACTTCTTAACTTTCAAGTTCTTGCGGTGTGTTATGACAACACATTCGGATGGAAATAACCAACGACCTGATGACCTACAGAAAATCCTCGTCGCCTAAATATGAAATTCAGTTTCCTTTCGTCCATAATATCGTGATGCACAAAATGACACTCACTTATGCCATACCAGTAGTCTACTAATTTGCATTTGTCCATAATTTCATTATTTCATCCAATAATTTCAATTCAATACAAAGATGATGCAAGGCTGCATGAAAAATCATCTCTTCCAGTCAAAATAACTAAAAAAAAAGGTCTCTTACATACTGCAAAACATTTTTGACTCATCACCACATTTCTCCCTTAAATTAAATAAATGTCCTGTACAAAACAATCTGCTATACCTCAATCGTTGAAGATGAAAATATTTCCTACTATCGATTAACTTTCTGTTTTTTTTTAAGAAATCAAAAGTTAACCAAGTCCCGTGTGAGCAGAAATTAGTAATAGACGAGTCGCGAGCACAATAAACATGTCTGCTATGTTATAAGCATCATTCATAACCATAAAGCTCGCGTATTTCATGTTACTGACTTCAGAAACATCTCCTCATGCAACATAGTATTTCGAGCAAAATAGGTAATTATCTACTAAATTCAGATAAAAAGTTTTAAAACATAGAAACAAAGCAACCAGGCAACAGTTCAAACATAAAACCAGACACCAGCCAACAATTCAAACATAAGCACTAAAACTAACAGATTCCTACCAAAAAAACATGACTTGTCCAAACAGAAACAGGTTCAAGAGATTCAGAGTTGAGAAAACAAATACTAGCCTTAACATAGCACCACGGCCTACGTAAGATCCCAAAACGATAAGATGTGGGCATTGCCACTCTACTCATTACAACCTCGATAAAACAAACTAAGCGACAGAATAAAGGAAATCTAACTCTCAGTCTGCTCCCTCAGCCTCCTGATGGTGCTCCTGACAGTGACAGCACTCGCGGTGCTGAAAAGCAGAAAAACAAAATTTAAGAGCTACACAGAACATAAAAACTGGGTCCAAAGAAAAAAAATACGAAAATTAATCAGTCGTTTAAGAATAAGACGGTCCTGTTGCACGGTTATGAATTCAAAATTAAGATTTAAGAGAATCTTGGGTGTCCAAAAAAAAGAGGCTAAATTATGCTAACCCCAAAAACTTTCACCATTTTAACCTAATAACTTTCAAAATCACACCATACCCAGAATAACTTTTGCAGAAAACCACCCCTATATCTTTTAGGTAAATTACACTAATCCCCAATTACTTTAAAAATGCATTTTATATTGTTTTTGGTAGTAATTTATGGGGGTTATCTGCAAAATGCAGAAACTTATCAGGGGTTCCAAAAAGTAATAGGAAGTAACGGAGGTTTAGTGCGATTTTGGAAGTTATTGCGGATTTATTGCAAAATGTTGAAAGTTCTTGGGGGTTCAGTGTAATCTATCCAAAAATAGGTTAGGGAACAAAAAAGCTTCGCAGTTAACCATAAAGGACTAAAAAAGGCTGGGAAAAAACATATTGATGCCAAAGACAACATAAAAAAATGAGTATCACTAATAAACACTGAATCTTTGAAAAGGTGGGGAAGAATTGATTTCCAAAAACGGTATAAGAATCTCAGTTTGTGAGATGTTAAGCAATAAATTGATTATCTTCAATCGTGTTACAGCTGAGACAGACAATGGCAAACAATTCATGCATTATCAGGGAATATAAACATACTTGAGTGTGTAAGCACCACCAGCTTTCACTTTGCCACAGTCCTTGCAGCCCCAGATCCCAACAGCTTTCCTTTTCACGGCATACTGGATCATAAAGTGCCAGCTTTTAGCATGGATAGATGGCAACAATGAAGAGAAGATCATATTTTACAGATAATATACCTTGCCACAGAACTCGCAGAAATACTTAGCATGTTGGCTGACCTCCATTTTCTTAATCTGCTTCCTTAGACTTGCACCATACCGGGTGCCTGCATTACCACTCTTTTGTAAGTCACAGAACAACTTCCAGAAACCAACGAAAAAAACAATTTTCCATTGGAAAAGAGCTAACAAAAATAAAGTAGACAACTTACCATACTTCCCAACAATTCCAGCCTTCTTCGTGCGCTTAGTCTGAGTTCACAATATGATATGTCAACAATCGGACAGGCGCATTGGTTGTAAATTGAACAAACTTGCAATAAATTGAGCATATATAATTGACAAAACAACAAGAAAGTTCATATGCACTCTTTATCCACCACTTTCTTCCAAAAAATTTCGTCTCAGAGATCTTGTCGTGTATAAAATTGTACTCCATGATCTAAACCAATAATTTGATACTACAAGAACTGTGCTTCAGTGGATAACTAAAACGAAAATGATCTCCTAGTTTAGGGCAAGGTTGTCATAATTATGGTTCGTACTTGGTTACTGGATTATTTACAACCTGGATTTACAAAAGTTGCATGTTTGTTCAGTTATTATATAAATGCTTCATCTTAATCAAAGGCAATTGGTCACATCAAATTGGGTCATGTATGGATCTGGTTTTATTCACAGCAATCCACAGCGGAGAGTATCAACTTTAAGCAATAATGTTTGTACCAAATAGCTTAAAACATCATAAAGACGGTTTCTTTCAATTAAGAATCATAAAAATCATGGTAGTAGAACACGTAATTGTTCTCCAACAATACAAAAAGCCCTAAAACTTAAACTCTAAACAGCCAACAAAACTTCGAGCTAAATGGAGAGATCCGTAGATCCGCGGTAATCTAACACGAGAAGTTAAAACCCTAGAAAACGATGGAGAAACGAGAGATGGTCGATGAGCGTCCGTACCATTTTCGCGTTGGTGGAGGGGGAGAGAACTGGAACCCTAGGTGAAGCAAAGACTCTCCTTTGGTCTGCTCTCAGCTCGGCGGAAACCCTAATCGTAGCTTTTATATAGAGGGGGTTTTGAGCTGTTGAGTGATCTGGGCCGTTTATGAAATTGGACGGTTGTGATTGTTCCTCTACGAGGCTTCCGATGGGCCAAGTTTCGCCAAGCAAGCCTTATTTTTTAACGGGCTGGGACCCCGTTTCACCGTCAACATTCACTTCGGGAGACTCGACAGTCGACTACTCTTGTAAAATTGATGTATCAACGTCAGGAGTGTAGCTAGGGCTCCTCACGGCCGTAAGGATGAATGTTCATTTTAGAAAATTGTCTGCCAAGCCATGAACTTATGAGCCACCCATGTTGCATCAATGTGACGAGCTAAGAGCTCACAATCTATAGTCTTTTAGTAACTCATTTTCATAAATGGACTCTCAAATCTCAATCCGTTCCTAGCTTTATGTTGGTTAGAACTAGGTAGGCTTGTCCATCCGGGCCGGGCCGGGCCGGCCCGGCCCGGAAATCCGGGCCCGGGCCGGGCAAAACTGGGACCCGGACCCGGACCCGGGTACACCGGGCCGGGTTCCGGGCTGGCCCGGGTGATTTTCCTTTTTTTTTCCCAAAATTTTTTAATGTTATTTAACTTATAAATTATAAAAAAAAGACAAGAAAAATAACAAAAATAATAATTTTATTAATTACTTAAAATGACATAAATTACAAATAAGAAATGATAAAAACATATTCTTTATTAATAATTGATAAATCAGTTACAAATTACAAGTACAAATTTATTTTGCAATTAATCGCATCACAATAGATAAGTAAATCCCAACTAGGTTGGCACCTACTCACCTATATCACTATCATTTGCAATTATTTCCAAAATAATTCTTTACAAATTGTAAGCTAAGATATAAAAACTACAATCTATTCTTTATATCTATCTGCTAGTCCCAATTCTTCAAATTTATCTTCAATTCCAGCCATCCGATCGATGCCTTGCGTTCGCTTCTCGTACCTCCACCAATCTTGTAAGCACATCACCGCTTGTACAGTATACGGATCCAAGCATGTCCTATGATCGAAGGCGGATTCCGAAGCTACCGTCGAAACCTGCACTGTTAGTAAATCACGAACCATGGTGGAAAGTATAGGATATGAAACTGATCCATATACTTTCCACCATTGCAAATTATCTAAAGCATTTCCTTGACATCTAACTAAAGAAGCAGAAAAATATTCATCTATTTCAGAAACCTCCGATGATGACGATCCAAGTCCAGATCCACCAGTTAGCTCGGCTACCATTGCATACCTATCAAAACTTACACTTTTACCTCGGGCTCGGGATGAGCTCGAAGAAACCGAAGCTGCAGACTGTTGTGCAGCTACACCATGTCTAGCTGCATACTCATCATATAAAGTTTGAAAATAATTTCTAATAAGTAAATGATGAGTAGTAGCATTCAGGGTGGTTCCATCATCTAAGTCTATAATCTGTCCACCATACAATGACTGTAACAAACTTCGAAGGCCAATATCCTTCAAGCATGGATCAATAAGAACCCCCAAACCAAAAATATGAGGAATAGGCCTAAAATACTTATTAAATTTGCTCTCCATTTCAAAAACCATAGGTCCAAAAGTAGCATCCAAACGATATTTATCAAAAAAATTTTGAATATTTAAAATTTGTAAAGCAGCTAAAGTAATGGTTGGATAATAACAGCCAGATAATAACATGGTAGCATCATAAAAAACTTGTAACATTTCATTTAAATTACATATAACTGTCCATTCATCTTCAGTTATTCCATAAGTGCTACCAGAACTAGAACTAGAAGCATAATAGTTTATAAAATCAGTTATAATGTCTTTATATTCTATTGCTACACTTAACATTGCATATGTGGAATTCCACCTATGGTCAACATCTTTTGGAATTAGTCTAGGCTTTACATTTTTTCTTTTACAAAATTGTTTCCATCTTTTAAGTCTTTGTTCAGAAGCACTATGCATGTAAGCAACTGTTCTAACCTTTTCTATCATGGGTTTAATTTCAGTAAATGCACTTTGAACAATTAAATTTAAAATATGACAGATGCACCTAATATGAAAAAGATCACCATGACATGGCAATGATAAAGATGATCTGATAAAATCAACAGCTACATTGTTATTACTTGCATTATCTAGTGAAAGAGAAAATATTCTTTGTGAAATTTCTAATTTCATAAGTTCTTCAATTATTAAATTTGCAACATTAGCACCAGTATGTGACTCTTCTATTGCAATAAAAGAAACAACTCTTTTAAACATTTGCCAATTTTCATCAATCCAGTGTGCTGTGATACATAAATATCCAGTTTGTGCTCTAGATGTCCAAATATCAGAAGTTAAAGAAAATTTACAGTTTAAATTTTTAAAATAAGAAATTATTTTTTCTTGTTCTTGCTGATAATATTTTAAAATATCACGTTGACAGGTTTGACGAGAAAATTTTTTAAATGCAGGATAAAAACCATCTCTAAACATATCTTCAAATTCATCATCTTCTACTAATTTAAAAGGAAGGTTTTTAAGAATGATAAACCTGATTACGCATTTCCTGGCTCTGGCAGCGTCATAGTTCCAACTACCGAGACTACCAGAAGAGGAGGATTGAGAAATCATGGATTGTCGGATATCACCTTGAGGAGGCTGGCCTTTGTTGTGTTTATCTAAATGGCGTTTGAGGTGGTTGGTGCCGCTCTTATGATGAGCTTGAAAAATCTTGCCGCACAAAGCACACTTAGCCTTCTGGGTGAGGATCCTACCGTGTTCATCCTTGGTGACGTCGATCTTCTCGTAAAAATTCCACACATCGGATCTTGGCCGTTTAGGAGCTCTTGGTGCAGATTCGTCGCCACCGGATTCGGGATTAACTTCGGTAGGAGGACTGATAGTAGGAGGACTCATAGTAGGAGGACTCAATTCAGGATCGGGAGATATGTTTTGCTCTTCATGCCGCCGTTGGCGAGCCACGTCCGGGCCCGGCCCGGGCCCGGAACAGTGCCGAAAAAAGGCACTGTGGCTTCGAATGACCGGGCCGGGCCGGCCCGGGCCGGCCCGGCCTAATTCCGGCAACGGTCACCACTGGTGACCGTTGCCACCCGGGCCGGGCTCCGGTCCCGGGCTGCCCGGCCCGGGCGTTGACCCGGCGGCGCACTGTACCGGGCCGGGCCGGGCCCGGGCCGGGCGCCGCTGAGGCCACCCGGACCCGGGCCCGGAACCCGGCCTGGCCCGGTTTTCCGGGCCGAGGCCGGGCCGGGCCGGGCTCCGGGCCGGGCCCGGGCCAGCGGGTAAAATGGACAGCCCTAGTTAGAACACCAGAAAAATTCCCCAATGAACCAAAATATGGGACCAACAGGGGGACAGGTGAGGTGTTCTCCTCCTATTGCATAATGAGTTGGTTATCATTAATGATGGTCAGCCGGGCCGAGGCCGGGCCGGGCCGGGCTCCGGGCCGGGCCCGGGCCAGCGGGTAAAATGGACAGCCCTAGTTAGAACACCAGAAAAATTCCCCAATGAACCAAAATATGGGACCAACAGGGGGACAGGTGAGGTGTTCTCCTCCTATTGCATAATGAGTTGGTTATCATTAATGATGGTCAGCTCATTATGCAATAGAAGGGGGACATCTCATCTGTCCCTCATATTGGTCTCATATTTTGTGTCCCTGTAGCAAAGCTTAAAACACCATGAATATTTGGCTTAATATAATTATTAAAAAAACCCTTAACTTTGAACGTTTATTAAAAAAACGCCTTAGCTTTTAAAATATCGAAAACCCCCTTAAGTTTAGGTGTTTTCAGAAAACCCCATTTAACTTTAAGAATTTATCATAAAACCATAAATGGCATTATCCCTTATTATTCCAAATTTTCAGTGGACAATATAATCTCCAAAAGGGACTTCACGTCCACGTTATTAAAAAGTTAAAAAAAAATTAGCTTAACACATTAATTTGATTTCTTGCATGAAAACCATCCACGCTAAAAAAATCCCTACTTTGGGGTATTTTTGTTCACTGAAAATTTGTAATAATGAGGGACAATTAATACGATTTTATGATAAAACCTTTTGATGCCCCTAAACTTAAGGGGGGCGGGGGTTTCTTATATTTTGAAAGTGGAGGGGTTTTCTAATAATCATCCAGAGTTGGGGGATGTTTTCTGATGTTAAGCCTAAATATTTTACCATTCTAAAATCAATAGTATAACCAATGTTACCATGCCAATAACTTTGAAAGCACGAAAATTATATTTTATGCTAGCCTTCTAACAATTTCCGTACGACATGATACAGAAATGAACGGTCTACTTCATGATCAATCCCTTGTCCAAAAAAACATACAATTAACTGGTTCAGCTAGCCTCCCTCTGTTAAGAGGGCTCAAAATTATTCCACGCACGATGGACGAAGAAAGAATAGTTAGAACCAACAGTTTCGGCCCACCAGAGAACGCTCGGGACGGCCCGAAAAAACTCATTGATCCGGGTGAATCAGGCGAATTCAGGAAATGATTTGGCTCGACCTGGGGAATTTTGTGCAAGTATAATACCACCGCGGTAACTTCCATAAATCTCTGCTTCAGTAGAGCATAAATAGTTTGGATTTCAAGCTACCATTGCCCACGGGAATAGCTTCAGCAAAAAAAGTAATAAAACAGTACTAAGCCTAAGAAACCTCCCCTCTTATGTTTCCATCTGCCAGAGTTCAAGACTTGCCAAAGAATATCAAGGCATTTGAAAAACAAAAAAAAAAAACTACTATAAAACAAGAACCTACCGGGAGCCCCCAAAAGAGAGAGAGAGAGAGAGAGAGAGAGAGAGAGAGTATTTCCTACCACCTAAAGAAATGCATCTAGTTTTTTTGATTTAATAGGATGTGGCGGCTTAAAATCCTCCAACCGAAGTTTGGAGCTGGTAAGGATTTCTTTCACAAAGGACTCTCCTTTCTCTACTTTAATGAACTCCAGGACGCTGCCAAGGACCTCTGAAGCCAACCCGATCTCAAGTAATCGTCCAGGCTCTTCGCCGCCTTCATGAATTAACTTCCCTAAATCTCTTAAAGGAACAACATTCTCCAATATCACTTTGACAAAGATGCGGCTGAGGAACTCAGCTGCTCTTGGAGCATCGTTCATTGCGTCCTCCAAAGACGAGAGTACAGACTCAAACCTGTCAAAATAAACGAGATGTAAACTTCCGAATTTATTCTCGAAATCATTGGTTGCAAGGAAATTATGCTTTACCCTTGACTGAGCTGGTTTTGGCTGAGTAAGCTATCTCGAGATTTGCAGAGATTAACAAGAAGAGTAGCCAACAAATCTCTCTCCAGGTCTTTTCTCTCAAAGGAATCTGTGACCCAGAGTGACACCATTGAAGGATAGAAACTGGGAGCATTAAGCTCTTTTACGCACAAAGCCACCTCTTTCTCATCCTTGGCACTGAAAAATAGGATGACATTTGTAAGTATACAATCTCAAAGAAAAATACAAGCATAACATTTTTCACACAAATGAAGTCAAAAATATTTGTAACTCTCGCCTGTGTATGATTTTAATTGATATTCATAATTGAGGGATAAAAAAACCAATGTGGCAAATTCAAATTAGATATCTATACCTGGAAATTAAATGGGCAAATATGGCAGATTCGAGGGGCATATATGCAAAATACCTATCATCAAATTACCTTTTTTTTCAAAAATTTAAGCTGTGTGGGGCTGTGGGCTGATGGATGGATCTCGAGGGAACTCAACGCTCCCCTCATATGAGCTCTTCATTATGTGGAAGGGCCTCAAGGGTAAAATGATTTGCTCGCGTTGGAGAATAAATATGAATATAATATACCTTCAATTACACATGATAACATTAGAACCTAGGACCTAAAACTTTGGATAGCTTGTCAAATAACCACTATATCAAATCTAAGCTAATGGTTGGCTAGTAACTTCAGCAAGCTTACATTAACAGATATCAAAGTGTCGATGCCACATGAACTGAGAAAAAATTCCTAGCCAATAAAAGCAGAGAGCCAACAGCTTAATACAGAATAGCTACGCACTACCTAGGCAACTGAGTTGGCCACGCCAAAGACAACAGTTACCATTTAGCGTTATCTACAGAATCATAAATGACATAAATTAAAAATACCCAACATCAACCTATAATATCATATAATTGATAGCTCTATCCTGAAAGATGCACGATAAACTACTCAGTAATGAAATAATTTCATGCAATTGAAAATGATAGGATATTGTCTCTAAGAATGTGAACTTCAGCAAATCCGTTTGATCACATGATCCATGGAATATCATGTGGGGGTGGCTTACACCCACCACATACAGAACGACATAACTTACCTCCCGCCCCAACCAAGCAAACTTGAAAGGCTCAAAACTGTGGTGTTTCATTGTAAGCCGATTACAAACATTCTAATAGCTGTCAGGACAAGTAGATAGAGTTGTACATACCTATAGAATTCCCTTATTGCTGATATTGACTTTTCCTGTAGGACCTCTTCAGACAAAGGTTTTCCAACAGGTACAGCAGTTGGTGCAGATCTGTCAGAAGCACGATCTGTTATCCGTGACTCTCGGCTATCCGATAACTTATCCTGCACATAACTCAACATTGCATCTTCTCTTGGGCTATAAGGTACTCTTTCTGGTGTAGCATTGTAACCATTTGGACCTGATGGCGGAGCATCAACCACAGGAACATTTGATATTGATGGCTGTCCTCTAATAGACATCCCCTTCGCAAGACCACCTTGTGGACCGAGGGTAATTGAATTGTCAATATTTCTCTGAGTCAGTGGAATTGACAATGTTCTGTTTTCATGAGGATGGCGGTCCTCTAGGCGAACATCCTGCATACCATAACCACCACGACTTTGAGTAGGTAATCCACGGATACCACCAGCTTGGGGTAATACTGAGGATCCTCGAGGACTGTAATCAACAGGAGGCCCTCTTCTTGAAGCAGAACTCATGCCAGGGCCACGAGTCAACCGGCTTGTTTGAGATTGCCGTTCTTGCGCTGCATCTCTATGTACCTCTTCAATCTTCTTTGGACCTTCAACTTTCCTTCTCTGCTGCCACCTATTTTTCCTCAAATCAATCACATCCCTCAGCATGAACCTGACCCGAGAAGACAATTTTTGATTGGTTGATAACTTCGCCAATGTGTCGAAATATCCATCCATTTGTTTCTTAGCCCTAGCATGATCTATCTGCTCCCCTATTGTATTCATTAATTTGCACAAGGCTTCAAGATCTTCCTCATCAGGGTTCTCATACTGCCCGAGCAACTTCTGGATGCATTCATGCATTATTCTCTCTGTTAGCATTCTTTTCTTGTATAGTTCCCCTATCAATCGAATGTTTCCAAGCATTCGCCTCCGTGCCTTGATTCTTTTTTCTTCTCTCTCTTCATTAGAAAGCTTGACCTCACCTTCCTCCTCAACTTTATCTGCTTCAGCCTGCTCTCTTTCACCTCTTTCAAATTCCTCCTGACACTTGTTCAGAAGGAGTCTTTTGAAGGTAATTTTCTCATTATTCTCCATGAAATCAGGCAATACATCAGAAAGATGGAAGCAGAAGTTTGCATACATTCCACAAAAAGTTGGCTCCATCAAGGCCTTGTCAAATATTTGTGATATGACACCAGAAAGAGTAACAGTATTGTCAATGTTAACATCTTTAACTTGCTGAAAGAGTTTCTCAAAGTTCTGAGGTGTTAACTTATTTAGAATTCCTTTAAGTTGTCTCTGCTTTGCCTGTTCCTCATCGGATACTTTACCTACTTCATACTTCCTCTCAGCTTTGTGCATAACTTGCAAAGGTGTCTGTGGAGGAGGCATTAAACCTCTTGAATTGTTTTGACGCCACCTGTCTCCATCAGAATTATTGCGTCCTGCTCCACTCTGAGGTACCAGCGATTGCATAGGGAAAATTGGAACAAAATGACTTGGTGGCTGACCACGTGGATTCCTTAAAACCCCAGGAGCGACACCTTGAACAGGACGAAAATTCTGAGGGAGATCCATACGCAGAGGAAAAGAACCAGGCCCTTTGGTCCATCTGTCTTCATCCATCATGCCACTCCCTCGACGATCACTTCGAGAAACTCCCGGTGACCTATTGGTCATGCTTCCAGGACTAGGATAGGCATCACGATTGACAACATAAGAGCTACCCAGCTGAACACTCATCAAAGTATCAGCTATATCTGATTTGATCTCAAATCCACTAGGAAGATCAGTACAATGCTCTGAAAATGTTAAAAGGAAATCCCTAGTATACTTCTTTGTGCCGTTAGATTCACTTTCATCATCATCAAGATGCTTATTTACATCATTAACCTCTGGGGTTGAGACATCTGCCGCATCTTCCCAGTCGTCCACTTCAGCTATACTCTGCGCATGTTCCTCAGTTATAATTGCATCTTTATCAGGACTATCTGCATTTACTTTTCCCCCATCAACTCTTAGAGAAGTCTCTACACTTTGTGAAGTAATTGCAAGTTCATGCTTTTCCTTGGGACCTTTGTATGCGTTGTATAGATCAGAAGTTCCAGCAGCATCAGCCTTTGATAATATCTCTTTTCTTTTCTTCCTTTTTCCACTAACAGACTTTGCCTTAATGGACTCAAGAGGGAGCTTATCCTTGGGGCCAGATGTCAGAGAGGAAGCTCGACCATCTTTGGGCACCTCCGTAACATCATGACTGCCTGTTTTTTCATCATGACTACCAGTTTTTTCTAGTCCATTGTTAATTCTACGTGGAGATGAAAGCATGCCTTTCTCACTGCTAGAAGCCTTTGTAAGCTCTAAAGTTTCTGCAGGATCCTGTATTTCTACTGTATTCGAAGTCCTTCCAACATCTGCAGAGTCGGTTAGTTTTTCTGAATTATTTGTTCCAGTCTCTTCCTTTTTAACCAAAACAACTGTCTTTACATCCTCAGAAGATTCTCCGACGGTAGGAACTGGATGAACTTTCGCAGTACTACTATCCAGAACATAGACTTCAGATACTTCATCAGATCTTCCATTTTGTGACTCTCCTGGCCCCTTTTTATTCCATATGTCCTCCAGAGAAGCATTATCCCCTTGAAGTACGGTAGATTCCAAATCTTTAGATAGGTTTTCCTCTATCTCAGGACCACTTGCATTTGAAGGAACCTTTTCTTTGATTGGAATACTGCCACTACCAGAACAGCTTATGAGGACAACTTGCGATGCTTCCTCCCCATTGATAACTTCAGAACTTGAACTAGCAGGTATATCTTTGCTTTCGACTGGTTCACCAGTTTGGGCTTGAGTACTAACACTATGTTCTAGACCACAAAAAGGCAAGTTAGTTGCAGTGGTTGACACATTTTTCATCATATATTCACAGATATGTTTAATATCTTCAGTGAATTGCCTACCATTTACATCTTCGTGACTTCCATCCTTGGAAATATTTATTGAAGACAATGTCTTAGTAATTTCAGAGGCTGAATCATCTATCTGCATGAATTGAATAAGTGAATGAGTTAGAAGAAGAACTAACAGAAGCATAATACAGAACTGAATAAAAGAAATAAAAAGATCAAGATATACTTGCTGTGGCTGAGATGGCCTCAAATCCTTTTTACTAGGTTTTTCCAGGTGATCCTTCAAGGAATCTGATCCTATAATAGGTTCTCTTTGTTTACCATCAGTCGCTAATTCAGCAGATCCGGAATCCCCAGAAGAAATAACTGGAGCTGATAAAGTTCCATGTGAAGATTTTTCAGTCATTGCTGGTATTTCACTGTCTCTTTGCTGATGGATGACAGTCGCTTCCCCAGTTGGCTTTAACAACTTAGGTTGTTCAGCCTTGCTAACAGGCATGCTAATAGTCACTGAAGTTGCCCCCACTTTTTGACCAATTGGAACAGCAGTTGGCTTAACTGACCCTTGTACTGGAGCCGATGGGGCTGTAGCTTGAGAAGGTTCTGACTTTACTGGCACAGAATTGTGGAGTGACAGGTTCATGAATGAAATTCCTTGCCCGCTCTGTCCAGCTGGGTAGCTAAATCTTGAAGGTTGAGGACCAGTGGCCACCGATGTGCTAGTAGGGAAGAAGATTGGTGGAGGATTATATGAATTTGGTTGCATCTGAGGAAAGTAATGTGAGGAAGTGAATGATGTAATAGGCTGAGATTGCGGCATTGAACTATTAATTGGTCTTTGTCCTGATGAGACACCATCAGTATACAAATCTGTCCTCTTATCAAGCCTCACCTCCTCATGGGTCTCTGGATGAGTAATTTTTACAGTGGCTTTACGAGGACCTGCAAAATTTCTGGGCTGCTGTTGCTGAGCAAATTGTGGCGCAGCAATACCAATTCCAAGGTTCCCCTGTGGACCAAGTTGGTGACCAATATGAGGTCCAAAACCCAAGCCTTGTCCCTGGTGAATCATCGCCTGAGGCGGCAAAGGATGAGACTGAAGATTATGGACAAACATGTGTTGTGGTACTTGAGGGGCGTTTCCTATGGGCAAAGTCATAGGCATTTGTTGTGGGCCCGGGCCACCAAACTGCATGGAAATTGGGGGTTGCTGAAATGGCATTGCCATAGATATTCCAGGAATAGGTAGCGCAGCAGACTTTGGCGGTGGTGGAACTGGCGCAGATGAAATCTGCTGTTGCACCTCTCTCTTTGCCTGGGAAGGAGGGTGTGACTCCCCGCTAGGAGGCAGGTTAATGCCAGGCACATCCTTTCTTTCTATTTGTGGCTGCTGCTTATTAGGGCAAGGTGGTATAGGCTGTGTAGGCACAGCCCTGAATGAATCACGACGGGCCTACATTATAAAATAACAACAGCTTAGATATTTTATACAAGGAAAAAGATCTAGAAAATGAAATGTCATAGTTATGCATGCCACGTGATATCACAGATCAATCTGCATGTGAAGATTAAATAGCAAAAAAGTGAAGTCTTTATCTTAAAATTTGGGCAGGACATATGAAGCATTTCTCTACATTTAGCACATACATGGTCCATTCCATTCATTAGACCAATCTTGAAGTGAGGTTTGTACAACAAAAGTAAGTCGACTTTAACCACCTTGAATTAGCTCTAAAAACAACATCGTCGATTGCATCATCATGATGCCTGCTGATCCTAACTAGCAAAAATAAGTATTTTGTTGCCATAACTTTGGACTGTAGTTGAATTAAAGCTATGTCCACACGTCCATTGTATCATGCCAATTCTGAATCTTATATGTTCCAATTTTTCTCTCCCCTTTTCTTCTTTATAAAGTATCCCTTCTCTAGTCACATCAACAAATAAAATTTCATTAAAACATCATATATGCCGTGACACTTCATCCTAAACATGTCTAGTAATTTCATAACTAACTGGCGAAAAGGGATAGTATTTCACACCAATCCCTGACAAAAGATGTAGTGAAAGCGAACCAATTTGATACAACAACCAAGCCTTTATCCCAAATGTTTAGGGTCGGCTACATGAACCCTATTTTCTCATTCCGTCCTGTTGCGGGTCATTTCCTCCGTTATGTTAGTCTTAATCATATCCTTCTTAATTGCTTCTGACCAAGTAATTCTGGGTCGACCTCTACATCTTCTAGCCCCATTAACTCTAATATTATCACTTTTCCTAATCGGTGCACTAAGGGGTCTCCTCTGTACATGACCAAACCATCTTAACCTATTCTCTCTCATTTTATCTTCAATAGGCGCACCCTCTAATTTACTACAGATGCACTCATTTCTTATCCTATCTTTTAATGTATACACACAAGACACATCAACAACAAACCAATTTGATCCCATACTAATTTAACCAACTTCCCAGAAAATTTCATCAGAAAAATTAAAAGATAACACATCAACAACAAACCAGTATACCTGGTCTCGCTTCTGTTCGTCAAGATTTGGTGGTGCTGAACTGGTCCGAGCAGGAATCTACATAATCACAATAAATGTTGCACCAATCACAAACAAATAAGGGAAGTCAGAAAAACAAAGCAAATAAGTGTAAAAAAACGTAAATTTTCCCAAAAACTAGATAACAGGAATTAACCTGCAATCCATTCACAATGCCAGGACTTATAGTCCCAAATTGAAGAGCAAATGGTTTTGTCCCATCTCCTAATGAAACAACATGATAAAAGGATAACATTAAAAATCAACAATCCAAATAATCAGTGAGAAAGATCTGAACTAAAATATTCGAAAAGTTTTGTGAAACACATTAAATTGTGTTCTCAAAGGAAGTAAGCATGACCCTTGGTGCGAAGAATATGCTTCGCTACGTAAACAGCATAGCTTATGGACACACACCAATAGTCTTCCATTCAGCAACATGAAACAATTGCAGTTCTAAAAGTACCTTTGACAGGTGTGCTTGGTGGCGCAGAATCTGAAACCCCAACAGCAGGCCGTGAAGATGGAGCTTTTGGAAGGGCCCGAGATGTCCTCAGAGCAGATGTATCATCTGGTCTTGGAACACTTGGCATTGATGAAGCAGATGGACCTGCGAAAAACAAATAAGATCAAGCCTAGAGCATCTAAGAATAAATTTGAGATCTTTACATGTGCAACTGACCTAGAGTCATAATAACCTTGTAGACAAATTAACACAAAATGAAGAAAATTTAGAATACTATCACCATGTGAAGAATCTGAGAGCAACCAATCCATTTAAATATATTAGACAAATGTAATCTGAATATAATTAATCACCTGATCTCAGTAAAAGTTCTGAGGATGATTCAAAAAAATATAGAAGCTAAATAAGCAACTGTGATTCAAGATATTATATCAGAAATTATCGGGTAAAAAGGTGGATGTCTTTAAGCTCCACTTATCAGTACAAATACCAAGAATAGAAGAAAAAATTTATCCTCTTGTTAACAAATTATGGAAGGTGGTAATTCCTTGTATACATACAAATATTGTAAGTTATCTATAGAAAGTTCTATGAAAGGGAAATTCTTTTAATAGAAGAAGGATTTGAATCCTCTCCACTAGCAAAAAAGTAGTGGAGAGACCACTACATTAACCATCACCATTGACTTATGTAATAGATGGTTGTGATTCATTCCATATCTAACACTCACCACACCCCCCATGAATTACATTGTTTTCCTAATTTACACTCAAATTCAAATCACAACCGCTCATTAAATAAATCAACGTGTGATTTAATAATAGTGGTCCCTCCATTACTTTTTGGTAGTGGAGAAGATCTGAATCCATAAAAGAACACTATAATAAAGGAAACACTTACAAATGGCAAATATTATAGTTAACATCCCCTCAAACTCATTGTGGAGCAATGTCAGAGAAATTGGATAAGTACCAAACTGAAAAATAGTTGAGCCTTGACGGAAGAGTCACACCCAGCTAGACAAACAAAGAAAGCTTCAAACCATTGAGATCAACACTGAAGGATAGGAACCAAGTACATCGATAATAGAAACTAAACACTGGCAAGACAGAACAAAAATAAGAATCCAAGGACAGCAACAGAGAAAAACTCAGATGCAACAAGATTCATAGTGAAGGATATGTATTTGAGGACTTTATGGAGGAAATCTCAGTGATTGATATCGAATTCATGGAGAGAAGGAACTCATCCTGGAGAAAAGTGCAAGTCACGATCATGGATCAAATGAGCTGAGCAGGGAGAACCGACAATGAGATAGAGCCAGAAAGACTAGATAGAACAAAGAAGGACATTTCTAGAGGATCTTGACATCGAGAAGGAGCTCTACACGTGAGGCTAAAGAGTGAAACGGAACAACATAGGACATCAATGAGAAGGAACTCAACAGGAGAGGCCAAGAGGTCTCCACTTCGGGGAAAGAATTGCGCTCAAACAAGGTTCAATTGGCACAAGGCTGTGCACAACAGTTATCCGTTGCAGTGAGGACTTGGACAGTGATGTCATGGCAAGGACCAGCTTCAAGATAGATATCGCACTTCAATTGATCGTTGAGACTGGCATCAGTAAGGTAGCACAAAAACAACACGAACATTGTCGACGCGGTGAGAAGAAGCCAAGGAGGGGTCCGTCAATGAGGTGGTGTTACATATTCATCACATGGTAATACGATTTCGTGACATAAGGTCAAGATCGAGGTAGCGTTGACAGTATAGTTAGTGGCAGCAGTCACATCATCAAACCTGTGTTTAGCTTTTAATTCATCATAGGTGATGGTAATCTTGTTGTGCTAAACACTGTTTTTCAAGCAGGCGAAAGTGGCACGGGGAATGGGTGGACAGGAAGGAGTCATGAGGCGGTTGGGAAGGAGAATTGACCCAGCCCCCTCTGATGAAGTTGAGAGAAAGGGAGGAGATGAGAAGGTGAAGCTTCATCAACATTGCTAGTGGCTGGCCAATCTCATAGTTGACACTGAAAAAAGTAACCTTGCGATGGTAGCAGAGGGATATTAACAAGAAATGCAGCACCGATGACGAGATCACAGGGTTTGACCATCAAGTAAATAATGAGACCATCAATTAGGTATTGTAGACAGCGTAGCAATGGCCGTCAGCATGTAAACATGGCCCTAAATCATGCTCTTGAGGTTTCGGGCATCGACCATGATGGGAGCTGAGTTGAATGTGATGTTTTTTTTAAATACTTTTTCTTGTGTGGGTGGGTGGTTTTTTTTTTTTTTTGGTGTTATTGGT